CCTGGGTCCTGGTCTGTGTTAAACCTCTAACACTAGCTCTCTACTGACCCCAAAACTGATCCGAATAATGTCCTGCTTATTACCCAGTAATTATATTGTATTGTATAGTATTAAAGCTAAGCGGAATCGAATCCCAATAGTAATGACACTCGAACATTATTGGGAACACTAGTTCGCAAAATCAACAAATGAAATACACACTCTTTGCTAGGAAAAACTTAGGCTTGGAGTGAAATACCATTTTTTCCTGGGAAAAGATGGTTTTGGATCGGAAAACCAGCTTCTTCCTAGGAAAAGATGGCTTTGGACCGGAAAACCAACTTTAGTGCTCACTCACACATATCAGCACGAAGACTTTTGCACACAGCTGCGCTCGAAGCGAAAGTAATCAGGAGCAAAGCAGAGATGAAAGGAACTGACAAGACCCACCCACACCTAATGCACACCCTCACAAGGGCCTCAGAAAGAGCAGCGGCAGGTCAAGGTAAGCCCCAAATCGGACCGTCCACTCGAATCCCGCCAGGCCTCCCAAAATGGGTCAGTACCCGGTGTTTTCGTGGGCAAATGCCTGTCACTGCCGCTGGCCTGAACCTCAGCAGAAAACCCTCCGTGGTGGAGCCAGGGGTGGATGGAGGGACTATCCAAAAGTCATGTGTGTATGAAGTCTGAAATCGCACTATACAACAGGTGTGCTGCACGCTAGTGCTCACTGACACATAACAGCACGGAGACTTTTTGCACAGAGCTGGGCTCGAAGCGAGAGTAATCAACAGCAAAACGGCGATGAAAGGAAATGACAAGACCCACCCACACCTCATGCACGCCGTCACAAGGACTGAGGCCAATGGCTGTTCGGCCGGGCCTTCCCAAAATGGGTCAGGACCCGGTATTTTCGTGGCCAAATGCCTGTCACTGGCCGCTGCTGGGATCCGCCCTACCCTGTTCAGGGCCTCAATCCGTTGTGAGCGTACCCGGCTCAAGCAGGGAGAGCAAGGAAGGGAATGAGAACAAAAGACAAAGGGGAGGGCTGGGAGGGTCAAAACGAGCTCTTCAAGGAAGGCCGTGCGGAAAAAGCTAAGGCCCGGAGCCTACCATGGACAGCTGGAGACAATTGCAAAGAAGAAAGCTGAACAACTCCTTCGCAGATGTAGATACGAGCCGTTTTTTGTAACAAACCTGCAGCAGGCTGTT